CTTAACGAAGGGAGAGATGAGCAGGGAGAGATAAACATACTGGGAGCAAACGGAGTAAAACACCCCCCGGGGTCACAGCTTGTGCCACACAACCAACACCCCCAACCCGTCGTACCCAGACTGTCCAGCACTTTGCTCAGCGCTGGCTCTTGTTAACGCCCTCGCGGACTGAGGAGCCTTTACACTCCCCTTGGGCTCACGGCAGCTCCCTGGTTTCCCAGGCAGGCAGCGTTTCTTAAACATCGCCTCTGCCCGGACCCACCAGTCCCCAGGGAGGTGCTGGGGCTCTGGGGCGCGATGGTCCCACGCGCTGGGCTGAAGGTGAAACCAAGAGCTTCACTCCCCAGTCAGACCTGAGTACAAGTGTTCAGCAGGGATTCTTTATTTGCAGCACTGGGGATCGCTCCACCAGAAGTGCCACAATGAGTAACAAAACTCTCTGATTAATATACACAAAAAGCGCACATATATGCATCAGATTTATTTGAAAAGTCAATCTTGCAATAACGGTGTCTCAGAAAACATTCACACAGTCTGAGCGTGCGTAGTAAATACAGTGAGGGTCTTCTCCCCTCCTTACGGGTCCACATACTCTTCCTCACACTCTCCGTCAGTTGAAGTTGAGGTTTCTCGTGTCCACACATGGCCACAGAGTGACCTCACCCTCTTTCAGCTCCGGTTTGTTCCAAGGACCTTAGTTTAGAGCAGTTTCCAGTCGCTTAACTTGATGCCGGTGTCTTCTGAGACGCTCTTTTTAAGGTTCCTGCTATTAGGGCTGGTCTCGGGGCGTTGTTCAGACTGTCCAAGGTCTGTCTTATCTTCATTAGTCAAGGAGTTGCGGATTTCAAAACATTTAAGGTGGGTAATGAATACAGAGGAGAGTTAGGAAAAAAAGGATAACTGAGATTACATACATTTCAGTAAAATACGGGAAAAATCCAAGCTAGTAAAACACAAGTGATGGTTAACCTTAAAACTAAATGTCCTACCTCACAGGTGCATGTACATTACAATTTTATGTAGACCTGTAGCAACATCCCTTCATTTCTCCTCCTCAGTGTCCCCCAAAGCCCCTCCCATTAACCCTCCTTACGCTATCGCAGAGCCGCACCCATCGTCCTCAATGAGCTCAGCCTTGGCCAGAGGCGAGTCCCACTTGGAGGCAGCGGAGCTTTGAGCAGCTTCTCACAGGGGCCATCGCTGTAGCCCCGTCACCCACCGCCAAACCCCCCCCCAACACACAAACCCAGCACAGCATCGCCCCAACGGGACCTCCACGGCCAGGGATGGAGGGGAACCCCCAGGATCTGTTGGGGTAACGCAAGCCGGGAAGACCCAGGAGGGGATTTGCAGTGGAGGAGGATGGGTGCAGAGAGGCCTCCGTGCCCACACACGAGCCTGGGAAATGTTCTCGGAGGCCGTTTGCTATCGCCTGGACTGACTCCGGAACTCCCCTGCACCGAGGAGCTTCTTCCAGGGCAGATCCATTCCTCGCAGCTCTCCAGTGCAACCTCCTGCTCCCAGCAGCACCATCCCCACCGCTAGTTCCACCCAACCTGGGGACAGAGCCAACCCATGCCCAGGGCCAGCTCCCAGCCCAGCACTGCTGCCACGCTGGGAGCAGGAGTCCCAGCACAGCCCCACCACGTGCTTCTCCAGGCCATCCCCACCCACCGCAACCCCAGGGACTGGGATATCTCAGCCTAACCCCCCCAAGGACTCACCGTCGTGGGTGGCTGCCTGATGCCTTCTGAGTTGACGATTTGACTGGAAGCTCTTCCCGCAATGGGAGCAGGGGAACGGTCTCTCTCCTGTGTGGATGCGATGGTGGATGGTGACAACTGACTTAGAGGAGAAGCGTTTCCCACACGTGGGGCAGGGAAAGGGCTTCTCCTGGGTGTGTGTCCTCTGGTGCCTCATGAGGCTTCCTCTCCGTGTGAAGCTCATCCCACAATCCTGGCACTTGTAGGGCTTCTCTCCCGTGTGGGTCCGTAGGTGACAGATCAGGATGCTGTTCCAGATGAAGACCTTCCCACAGTGCTCGCACTTGTGCTCCTTCTCTCTGGAGGTACTCCATGGTTGGGTTGTGCCTTCCAGAGGGTCGTCACCACACGTCCCTTTGAAAGAGCATTTTCGGGGTTCCCTCGTTCCGCGGCTCCCTTGCGTATCACGGGGCTGCTGTTGGCCATCGTGCTCCACGGCCACCGTGGGGCTCTGGGGCTCCTCTTGGGGCCCTTGCAGCATCCCCCTCTGCTCTTCCCTGGGCTGGCACTGCTCCTCCTTCTGCTCCTCTGTCCCAGCACCCGTGGGGGGGCCAAAGGGGCTCAGCTGGGGGCTCTTCAGGCACATGAAGAGCAGCCACCTCCTCCAGCACCTCCCGCCCAGACCAGTATCACCCAGTATGGTGCTGCCAGCTGCTGGAGCCCTTGTGCCATCGGTGTGTGTGTAAAGACACGGGGACTCTGCGTGTGTGTGTGTCTGTGTCCTCTTCTACCAATCCTCCTCATTCTCCCTCATCCTTCCTCTTCCTGCTCCTCCTCCACCCCCAACTCTCTCTCCTCTATGCCGTGGACCAGCACCCACCATTGCTCCCCACTTTCAGCCGCTAGGACTCTCCCCAACCCTGTGAAAGCCGGGGATGGAGATGGGGCAGGTCGGGATGGGGCAGGGTTGGGCTCTTGGCTGCTCCCACCCTCTGCGGGTGAACCCGGGAGGGGGAAAAGAAGATAAAATCAAGAAAACCCATGGGATGAGATGAAAAATATTTCAATAGGAGGAGAGAGATAGCCAGGAAAATTGCAAACTCCATCACTGACCCCCACTCATGGGGAGATGGATGCCCAGCCAGGTCCTGACCAAAAATCTGGCCAATCCCCAATCCCAAACCCCCTCCTCTCCATTTTATTGCTGAGCAGGATCTACTTCAGGATTAACACTCCCCCAAGGACTCACCTTTGTGGATCATTCGCTGATGACTCCTGACATAACACTTTGTCCGGAACCTCTTCCCACACTGGGGGCAGGGGAAAGGTCTCTCTCCGGTGTGGCTGCGTTGGTGTTTGATAAGATCTCTCATACGGGCGAAACTTTTCCCGCATGTGGTGCAGGGAAAGGGCTTCTCGTTGGTGTGTGTCTTCAGGTGAAACGAGAGGTTCGATCTCCATGTGAAGCCCCTCCCGCAGTCCTGGCACATAAAGGGCTTCTCACCCCTGTGGATCCGTTGGTGACAACTCAGATAGCTCCCAGACTTGAAGACCTTCCCACACTCCTCACACTTGTACTGCTCCTTCTCTCTGAAAATGCTCCGTGGTTGGGTTGTGTCTTCCTGAGTGTCTTCACCACCCGGCCCTTTGAAAGAGCTTTTTTGGGGTTCCCTCGTTCCGCGGCTCCCTTGCGTATCACGGGGCTGCTGTTGGCCATCGTGCTCCACGGCCACCGTGGGGCTCTGGGGCTCCTCTTGGGGCCCTTGCAGCATCCCCCTCTGCTCTTCCCTGGGCTGGCACTGCTCCTCCTTCTGCTCCTCTGTCCCAGCGCCTGTGGGGGGGCAAAGGGGCTCAGCTGGGGGCTCTTAAGGCACATGAAGAGCACCCACCTCCTCCAGCAGCTCCCACCCAGACCAGTATCCCCAGTATGGTGCTGCCAGCTGCTGGAGCACTTGTGCCATCGGTGTGTGTGTAAAGACACGGGGTGTGTGTGTGTGTGTGTGTGTGTGTCCCCTCCTACCAATGGGCCTCTTTCTCCCTCATCCTTCCTCTTCCTGCTCCTCCTACTCCACCTCAAACCCTCCCTCTTATTCTCCGTGGAACATCACCCACCATTGCTCCCCACTTTCACACCCAAAACTCCACTTAATCCTGTAAGGGCCAGGGATGGAGATGGGGCAGGTCGGGATGGGGCAGGGCTGGGCTGCTCTCACCTGCTGGGGGTGAAACTGGGAAGGGGAAAAGAAGATAAAAACAAGAAAACCCGTGGGTTGAGATGAAAAATATTTCAGTAGGAGGAGAGAGATAGCCAGGAAAACTGAAACTCCATCACTGACCCCCACCCATGGGGAGATGGATGCCCAGCCAGGTCCTGACCAAAACTCTGGCCAATCCCCAACCCCAAACCCCCTCCTCTCCGTTTTATTGCTGAGCAGGATCTACTTCAGGATTAACACTCCCCCAAGGGCTCACCATTGTGGTTGGATCGCTGATGCCTCCTGAGATAAGACATTGCCCGGAAGCTCTTCCCGCAGAGGGAGCAGGGGAACGGTCTCTCTCCCTTGTGGATGCGATGGTGGATGGTGACGTATGCCTTACAGGAGAAGCGCTTCCCACACGTGGTGCAGAGAAAGGGCTTCTCCTGGGTGTGTGTCCTCTGGTGATTAACGAGGTACGCGCTCAGCGTGAAGCTCTTCCCACAGTCCCCACACTTGTAGGACTTCTGTCCCGTGTGGATCCGTCGGTGACGGGTCAGGTTGCTCCGACAGCTGAAGACCTTCCCACACAGCTCACACTTGTGCTCCTTCCTTCTGGGGCGACTCTGTGGTTGGGTTCTGTCTTCTTTAGTGTCTTCACCGGACTTCCGTTTGAAAGAGCGTTTTCGGGATCTCCTCGTTCCGCGGCTCCCTTGCGTATCACGGGGCTGCTGTTGGCCATCGTGCTCCACGGCCACCGTGGGGCTCTGGGGCTCCTCTTGGGGCCCTTGCAGCATCCCCCTCTGCTCTTCCCTGGGCTGGCACTGCTCCTCCTTCTGCTCCTCTGTCCCAGCGCCTGTGGGGGGCCAAAGGGGCTCAGCTGGGGGCTCTTAAGGCACATGAAGAGCA